AAGACGCTCTACAAGGTGGTGCCTCTCCGAATGTATCGGCTCTACGTAGAACGTGGGGCGATCATTCGGGGTGGGCGAGCTCTGATCGAGCTCCTTCCCTCTCGGCCGGATGAGTATCAATCCCTCCGCGATCACGGAGAGTGCCCCAACGACACTGTCGACCGCATCACCGACAGCAACGTGACGGAGCTGCACACCTCGGGTCGACGCCAAAGGAGCGATCCCCGATATGTGGTCATGGCTATCGATGCACGTTTCTTCTCCATGGAAAATGGGGGCATGCATATTACTCGTCAGGGTACCTTTGCGTCGCGCGAGAACATCGCGATCGGGTACTGGAGATGCGTCTACTTCAAGGAGGACTGCTCCATTATTTACCTGAGGCCTTGGTGCTATCCGCCCAACTTCCTCATCTCCTTGAGTGATAACCCGAGGAAGTGTCGGGACGAGATGGAGAAGTACCATCAGATCACCAAGACGGAACATGTCCGCGAGGTGGTGTCCGTTCCATGCCATAGGTGCATGACGGCCCATCCGGTCGGCGCTCACCTGTGCACCGCCTGCTACCTTCCCATCTTCTACGATGGCGTCCTGCCCACCGGAGACACGAACGGCGGCCCTCGCACGATAGCGAGCACTGACGGGTTGGTTCCTCCCTGGCTGGCAAAATACGAGGGCTTCGTCCCCGCTCTGTGGAACAACTCAGACGCCAACGCCATCGGAATGGCCCTCTACTCGCAGAGTCCCGCCGTCGATGCCCGGTCCTTGTTGATGTCTGGGATGCGGCCTCCTAAGTACCTTGACAAAGAGGACGTGGATGGCATTTTCCGGAAACTTCACGACTCGCTCCGAGACGAAGTCCTTGACGGCAAATACCGTGACACGGTCGACAACAACGTGGAAGAGTGGGTAGCAAAGGCGATCCTGGTAAGGGGTCTGGCCTTCAACGGGAGCTCCGTCCCCGAATTCTTCGAAGAATATGAGGGATATGCGGCTGAGTGGGGCAGACGCCTAACCACCGCAAACTTCAACGCCAACCGGTGCGGTTTCTACACGTCCTACTACATTCTTGAGGCCCATATCATTGGGCTGAGAACAGGACACCTTTCTCCGATACTCCCCAACGATGTGTCCGGGGAGGGATTCAAGTTCCAGGTGGGGCTGCTCGCACAGCACTGCGGGATATTGCAGGCCATGCGGAGAAAGGCCGGTTCGATCCTGCCGCGCGCCTCAAACGGGCTATGGACACGATACGGGAAGGCATTAAGAAGGGGTATGTCTACACCCTCAACGACCTCAGCAGTATGGACGATCTGATCTACCGGACGTCCACCGTTGCCTACGACACCTGCTTGGCCGACCGTCCTCAAACCCAGGATGACATCAAACAGGAGCTATCCGACCCTGTACCAAGGAAATACCGCTTCCGACCCCGCGATCGCCATCGACCCGGAATTCGCCTTACACCAGGCCCCGGCGTGAAGGACGAAGACGAGCCCGACTTTGCTGGATCAGCGGAGGATGAGCTGGGATCGGATGGTTCTTCGCACGAAGATGACGAGAAGCCTGACGACCTTGACGAGCCCATGGGCGACGACGAGGAGGAGATCCCTCCCCCTCCGCCACCGCCCCCGGCTCCTCCTGCGCCGCCTGTCCCGGTAGAACCGGAGACTCCCGTGGTGCCGCATGCAGGCGTCATTTCTGGCGATGCTGTGCCAACTCCTCCTCCTCCTCCTCCCGCTCCCATTGCGGCAGGCGTTACTACGACTGGGGATCCGTTTGAGGAAGAGGACATGGCCATCAATACTCGTGTCCCTGACACCGAGTCCGAGCTGGAGGGTGAGTCCGACCAACCCAAGGCCAGAAGGACATCTCGCGGTCGGGTCCCCGCGCCCGAAAAAGGGCAGGGGGGCGTTCAGGTCCCGCCTAGCGGGCAACCCAGCTCTAAGAGCATGGCCCAGCCTGCCCGCCCATCCCCGGTCCCCGCGAGAAGCGGTGTGGAAGGTGGGGAGAGAAGGGGCAGGACTAAGGGTTTCTACACCCAGAAGGATCCTTTTACCGGCGAGGACGCGACTCCCCGAGTTCGTCTTCGATCGGGCGGTCCCGGAACTCCTGCGTCCCCACCACGGGATGCCACCGGTTCCTTGGGCGGCCATCGCGGCTATGACCCGCGTGATGACGACAACGACGAGTGGGAGCTTCCCCCGGGTGTGCCTCGGACCACTCGTGCGGCAGATGAGTCGCGGCCCCGACGAGATGACGATCGGTCAAGGACCGCGCTTGGGGCCCGCGAGGATCGTCGTGGTCCTAAGGGTGAGGGGAAGGGTCGAGGAAAACATCGACCTGGCAAAGGAGGACGTGAGGATCCCGGCCCGCCCCGACAAAGGGATGATCGTGGCAGGGACACCCGCGGAGGCCGACGCGATGATCGCCGACCTCCTCCACGTCATGAGGAGACCTCCGAGAGGCGCGGCCCGGGGCGAGATGAGCGCCGCGGACGTGATGACCCGGGCGATGACCGTCGCGATCGCCACCGGGACCGGCGCAGGGATGACCGACGTCACCAATCAGATCCCCCTCCGCCTCGCCGACCTCCGGCTGGCGACCACAATAGGGGTGGTGGTGAGGATCGCCGTCGGGATGGAGGAGGTGATCGAGGTGACCGTGGTGGACGCCGAAGAGACGACGCGCCCAGGGACCGGGAAGAGCCTGGTTCAGGGTGGTAGACGGGTGCCGCAATCAGCATCCGCCTTAGAAGGGCGAGGATAGTACGTGTGTCGCCGACAAACGCGACCGCGCCGGTCCTCCTCTCGCCCGTGCAGCGCTGCTGGGGGTGATGATCTCCATTGCCCTGTACCGCTGATCCGGCGTTGCTCGTGTCCCTCCCGCACCGCTGCCGTGCGCGCCGGAGACGGTTCCCCTGGCGATCCTGTGTGAGGCTGTGACCGCACTAGAAGTGCCGGGCCGGCCATTGCCAGTTATTTTCACACCAATTTCGGAACTTCCGTTTCTAATTTCCTCCCAACTCGACTACTCTTCCAACCGCTCCACGGCGTGCAGTGAGGCGCGGTGATCCAGATAGGATCCCCCTCCGCATGGCATCGTCCCATGACGACTCATGAACGGCACGAGAGGAATCTTCGTCTGGTTCCTCCAATATGTCTTTGTTCACTCATGTGGTCCACTCGTCAAATAATCCTGTCGCCCCGATAATTCGGGGTGGTGGCGGGATTTTAACTGGGGCCCAGGTGATGCCGTTTGGCTCACCTCTGAGTTGACACCGGCATTTTTGGTTGGTCCCTTTCGTCGTGAACTCAACTGTCTCGCATCCTTTCTCTCGTCCTGATATCGGATGAGGGGGGTGTGTTTTGTTCACGTGTTGTTTCATCATGTGGCAAAGCGGCCGAATGGCCGTTTGGCTCAAGTTTAACCTCCCGTCAGGTTAGTTTTGGTAGCACGGCACTCGCCATAGCACGGCATCTCGCTGCGTCGCCGAGAAAGGACTCTCGGCGCTGGGGTGGGCTGGTGCTAGGAGGTAGGTGGTGCTGCGGCAGGACTTGCCTGGGCCTGGTTAAGGTGATCTTTTGCAACTTGCTGTTTGACCTTCACTTCAACCACCTCTTCTTCAATCATCACGTCCTTCAACCTGGTCACCGGCTTCAGTCCACTGAGTCGTGAGTCCGGGTTCTTTGGGTTCTTCGTGGATTACGTGAACCCTTTTGATTCCCTGGGCAACGCCCTTTCCGCCCAAAACCGCAGTTGGGAAACATTGTTTACATGTTTCTTCTTCCACGAATATGAAGTATGGCCTTGTCTACAATGGATGCTTACTCCTTTCCATCGCGATTTATGTCGTGACTTTCTGCCATATTTATTTCACCGAAGTTGGTTGCTGATGTGGAAAAAGAAGAAGAATAAAAACATGTTTGCTTCTTGTGGTTTAGCGGGAAATCCCCACCCTTTTAAAAAATGCTCCCCTTCCAACGTCAACAAAGTTACGGGGGAATAACTCTGAGCGTCGCGAACATGGCCCAAGAGTCACTGTCACGCACTGCAAGACTGAAGGCCGAGCTGAAGTGTTGGGCATTTGCATGACCAATCGGGATCAAGCCCACATTTCAATAGCTCCTTCAGAACTGGGTGGCGTCCTTTGGTTTTCCTCATTTGCTTGAGGAGTTTGTTTTAGATTTACTTGTCATTCAAAGGACATGGTCACAAGCTGTGATTGAGTTGGGCCCCCGAAACCCAGATGAGGGAAGAAAGCAAAGCAGTTTGTGAACCCGGGTGCAGTTGACTTCACTTCAAAACGCAGGTGGTCTTCTTTTAGCTGTCCTTGTTTTGCACCTTTAAGCATGACAAGGTTCAACCCCCAGCCAATTGTTGAGATGCTCCGCTTAAAACATGGCATTTTGGAAGTTTGGTGACCCTGAGATGCCGTGTGTCATAGTTTCATTGTGGGGCAGAGACATGGAACTGGGTAACCTCAATCACTTTCACGGGCATTTTTCATCATTGGGTCTCCCTTCAGTTCTCCTCGTTTGCGCCATGTTTTTGTTGATACCTTTTGGTGGCTTTCAAACTGGCGCAAGGAAACTCCTCATTTTCGGGGGGGGGGGGGGCATGTTTTGTTGTTTTTGTTGTCTCTCTCTCTCTCTCTCTTTTTTGGGGGGGCACCAATTTTGTGGGGTGCAATGCGCTCCGGCAATTTTTCGTTGGTCCAGATGTGTGCGTCTAGGTCCCCCGGAGGGTTCCCCTACTTAAATAAACAGAAAAACAATCGGGTACCAACTTATTTTAACCTCTCCAATCTGGAGGACCTAGTCTTTGTAGGGGGGCTCTAACGACCCTTATGAATGTCAACCGAGGGGGTTCTTCTTATTTTTCGAGGTTAATTCTCATGACGTGGGGCTTTTAGTGGTGCAAACGTCTCTACTGGAGGACCTGGGCCGTTTTTGTTTTTCCCCCCCCGGCCCCCCCCCCCCCCTTTTTTCCCCGTTGAGGACGTGGTGAAGGAGGCGGTGAAGGCCTCGCTGCACATCATGCAGCTCACGGAGTCGGTGAACCGGGCCGCCACCCAGGTGGCGCCTGGGATGCGCGATCTGGACGTCCCCTACGTCGCTACGTCTCGCCGGAGAGGTCTCTAACGTTGACCCAGGATGAATAAACCTCTGGTCGATTAATAGGGGGGTGTCCCCTTTTGGTGGGGACTCATCACTTTTGGAGGGAACATGTTCCTAACAATGGGACGGGTTTATCAATCCTGGGTCAACATGGAGAGGTCTCGAATTCTAGGGGTACCTTCCATTTCCATTCTTTCCAGGGATCCGGATCTTTCTAGAAAACCTCCTTTGAAACCCAGGGGAAACGGATCCGGTTTTTGGAAAGAACGGTGGTTGAAAAGAATGGAAAAGGAATCAACCCCTAGATCTAGGTTGAACCTGCAACCATCTGGCGGGTCAAAGACACGGAGCCCAAAATGGCAAATGGAACCAAAGAGCATGGAACCCAACAAGTGGCATGGAAGGGTTTCAAAGACGACCTGCGGTTTGCCCCAGCGGTTGAATTGTGAGCCACACCCATTTACAAGTGGTTTCCCAAACAGCCAGTTGTAGGAATAGACCTTTATGGAAAAGGGCAGTTTGGGGTTTGCCACCTTTTGTAAATGGCAACGTTTCAGGTTTGAGGTGTAGTGCAATGAATGTTGTCCTTTTTGCTCCCAGCACGTCAAAAAAGGGAAGTATTCTCAAGGCAAACACAGACCCTCTGTACATTCCAGGAATTAGAGAAGCCTTGGGATGGTTTTGAAAGGAAAACGAAAGGAAGGCTGGAGGGTCATTTGACTAACATGGCCGGGTTTTGGCGGATGAACGCGTTCTTTCCATGTTTTTGCAGGGGTCAAGACCCACTCCGCTGCGGTAAAATGTTTTTGGATCGGCTCAAAGGAGCACCAACAGGAAGCCAGCCTCCATCGTTTCCTAGTTTTGCAGAACACCCAACAAAGTGTAAGTTGGGAAACAAGTTGAACCCTATCAATTGTATCATTAGTATCGGGTGCTTGTCTTAGCCCATCAGTTTTCACGGGAAACGAGAACGGGATACTTGTCCAGATCTCACACCCGGAGCCTCCCCACCCAGATCGTATCAACCGTACAGACCTCAGAGCTTCTAGGGGAGGCGTGGTGGGCTTGCGACCATCCTGCCCACAGCTTGTTTTTTGTCCAAAAAGGCGATGCCTTCTCACTCCCCATTTTAAAAGGGCAAGTGGCAGAGCACCAGCCTCAACATTGCAATGGAACCTGTCTTGTTTCCCCCCCGTTTTTTGTTTGTTTGTTCGGTTGGAGCAACCAGGTTGCGGAACCTTGCGGGGCTCTTGCAGAGGTGGGTGGTGGCAAAATCTTGCAGGAGTCAAGCCCAACTTGGGAGGGACACGCAATTCCAGAGATTGGCAAATCCCCATAAAGCGATCATGTCGGTGTCCAATGGTTGGATAAAAGGTGCTTCCACTTGCCGCTATCTTATGTGATATAATTTATCTTCCCCTGGACATCTATCCCTTCTGTGCTCGTTTCCCAGCAGACTTGAGCAAATGGAAGGATATTAAGCCCCGATGATGCCTGCATAAGCATCATCGGACCCTCGATCGGCGTGGTCCAGGACCTTTGGAAGGTCCTATGATACCTAGGGCAACCATCAACCCTTAAAATCCCCCGCTTTGACAGCGAGGGATTCGGACATCGAAAAGCAGTCAATCCGGGGGGTGGGTTGCTGGTGAAGTTTATACCAAGAAGTTGAATCCATCCAGCAACAACTGGGGAGACTTGGCTTTTCAAAAGCCACGCTCGCAACCGCTGACTCCTGCCACATTGGGCCATGACACCTCTCCAAAACCGTCTGCCCGGAATTGGGCACATGGGGCAAACAAGTTTTCGGTTTGCGCTCATAAATGCCAAAGGAACTCTGCAAAAATTGAACCTAAGATGGGGACCTGGGACCAAATTTTGGAGACCGAGGAGCGGATCAAGTTTGTGCTGGGGCTGGAGGACATGTGTCTGCCGGGATCCCGGGCCGGCGCTTCGAAGGCAGCACACGCGCCTGTTGGCATGTTCTTCACGTTTTCCACGTTTCTAGGTTGCTGCATGTCTTCTTGCTGGGAACCCCAGCCATCCGGTTCCTTAGAATAGGTGTTTGGGGTTTTAGTTGGTTTAGTGGTTGGGCTTTAACCCACCAAAGGTGCTCAACACTTTTTTGCAGGGGATCAGAAGAAAAGACATGCACAGCCCAGTCTTGTTTTAGCTCGAACTGGGTGAGGTAGAGCCAAACCCCTTTCCGGGAAATGGATGTTTTTTCTGGTTTCCGCCAGCCTCTCGACTCAACAAAAAAAAATCGCCAGCTGGCCCCTTTGCGCGTTCGGGAGGTGACCCACCACGACTTATGGGAAGAGTTCCCAAGGCTCCCTCGGATCGCAGAAATGGTGGGAGCGCCAGGCGCGGTTTTTGGCCTTGAAAAGGCCGGCCAAAAACACGACCAGGGTAGAAAGGTGGCTTTCCTTTCTAACCAGAAATGTGGGGCTCCGCGCATCGGGCCTCCACAAAGACCTGCGGGTGCGATAGGCAGGAAATGAGAAATGGAACTCATAAGCAAACCTTCTCAACTCGAAATATCGGTAAACTTCAAATCCCATTAAGGTCGAATCGCTTCTGACGAGCCCCGGGTCCATCCCTTGTGGTTTCCTTCAGGGAATTGGGTTCATTCCCGGATTCCCTACTTCTCGCAGCAAGAGACGAAGACTTTGGTGCATTTGGTGCATTTTGCCAACTCAACTAGTGAAACGGTTTTCCATGAACCCACTGAAAGTTATTCACTTTCTGCAGGGGAGCAGATTTCGCAACCGAGAAGAGAAGGACGCGCCCTAGGTCCAGCATTTGCCTGGTGCTGGCGCTCACCGCCGCTCTGCCCATGTGCCTGCTGCTCTTTCTCTCGCGCTGGTTACTGGACTCCGGCCTATGGAGGAGCGAAGCGCGGAGATTCGAACTTCGAATCGAAGCGACACGGAGAACGTGGCCTTCCATTTGCTTACGCCCCCTGGAAAAAAAGTAATAGTGATAGATTCCCATTAAAACCAACAGGGGAAAACAGCAAATATTCTTAAGCAAATGGAAGTGGCTCGTCTTTTGGAAGGTTTTGGACCCCCCGAAATGTGAGAGCTTTTCCTTGAGGGTACCCCAAAGATGGCTTCGGTGTTCCGTTGGGATTCGCCTTAAAACCGGCAACAAGGGCACCCTCAACGAATTATGCACCCAAATGGGTGGTTGTTTTCCTCATGGTTTCCCTATGTGAGGCCAACCAAAACTGGGGTACCAACACAGAAAGAGACGAGGCATCCACATGCTTGGATGGGATTCCACAAAAGGGGTGGCTTTCCAGTTGGGGTCTCTTGAGAAAGCACGACACAAGGTAATCCCTCAAAAGACACACCCCTCTGAGGTTTGTCTCTCAGGGAAGCCCCAGCAAAACGCGCTTTGTATTTGGTGTCGGTCCACCAAACAAGGGTTCGTGCAAAAAGAGACCCCCGTGGCGCATGCGGATGGAAAAACATGTCTGCACCATTGGGTAGGTGGTTTCTCCCAGTTGCAGTGTTTTCTCCATCCTAGGTGCAGGATGCTGTCCAGCACGGCCACAAAACCACCTTGGGGGTTTCCTTGGTTTGAGGGGTCTAAGCTTCCAATCATTTTGCAACCAGGATTCGCTGTACTTCCATTTGCTGAAATGAATCTATTTGTTTATTGTCCCCCTGTTGGTTTTAATGGGACTCCATCACTATTGGACATCTATTTGTTCAAATATGTTTTCCAGGGGGCTTAATTAAATATTAAGCCAATGGAGGTGCCAGGGCGCATTTTGTGTATGGCCGAACTTCCTTGTGTATGGCTCTGCCAGGTACTTGCTCTGGCTGCCGGGCGCTGTGGGCTTCCTTCCCAAGGCCCTCCAACCCGACCGCATCCTGCGAAGACCAACTGGATGTCGCCAACGAGAATATTTTTCTGGAGCCAGTTGTCAACACCGAAGGTCTGGATCCGCAAAAGGTTATAGACGGAATGAAAAAGGAGGTCAAACAGATGAAGCAACAAGCTGTGCACGACGAACTCGATGGAACACAGCTCACACCTGAGCAGCAGCGCAACCTCGTTGAATCCCGATGGGTTCTTCGACCCAAGGACGATGAAGTCTGTGCAAGGATCGTCAAACGCCGCCAGGTTTCCAAGCATTCAAGTCGGGTTTCATCCCATCCCAGCTGGTGACTGGTGCGAAGTGGGTTTTGTCCACTAGATGTTGCTTGGATCGGGACAAATCTTTGTCATTTTGGCACCTTGCGCAATTTCAAAACAATGTGCACCAAAAGCAGGTTTGTGGTTGATTCCCATCTAGCTATGACTGCAGACGTATCACATGGCAACCCAAACCAGGCGTCCATGCTTGGATCTCAAGGTAAACTGCCGATGGTTGCGCATTTCGCACCACCGTTCAGAAACCTGGAATGATTTGCTTCCCCTGCAAATAAACGAAAACGCGACGGTTTCAACCATAGTTTCTTGGGTGGTGCGAAATGGATTTCGTCCACCCACAGTATGGGGTTGACTTGTTGGCAGCCCAGCAGCTCCACCCACAGTATGGGCTTATCCAAGCCTTGAATCTTCATGAGCAGACCAGACCTCAAGTCAAAGCAACGCTGCTTAGCAGGGATGCAAGTTCTTAAGTAGTTGCAGAGCTCAACTTGGTGCCCGGGAGGAATGATCCTTCTGTGAATTGGCAGTTAGGAGTCGATTTGCATCCCATGTAGGGGTTGGGAACCCACGCCCTCTCACCAGAGCGTTTGCAAAAATTGGCCCTTGCAAGTGTATGTCATTTTGCTTACCTCTGGCCAACACAGATTTTCCCATCTTCTAGCAGGAAGCTGGAGAGACAAGCGATGCAAATGCGGACAAGCCCTGAAGGAGTTGCGTGCTCAAACTCCTATGTGCCCGGTTTGTTAGAAACTCCCCGGAGAACGGGATGATACCATCCCCCGACCACCCATTTTAGTCTAGTTTAGTTGGGATTGGGGGTTTTGACCTACGGCCATATCTTGTCTCGTCACACTCCCTGGCATCACCTCGAGTCCTGACCGTTACTTGGCCCTGTGACACAGCTACCCGTTCCGCATGCACCCCGGATATGTACCTCTTACAGCCGGGAATCGGTTCGGATCTGTTTTTGGTTTGAAGGGAATGTGTTCATGTGAGCCTTTGATCGGGTGAGTTTCCCTTGCGCTTTTGCCGGGCGTTGCCATTCTTCAGAATGACCCTCTTTGGGTTCAACTGCCTTTTCATGTAAATCAAGGGGGCCTGTCCGGGTTCACAGTGCCTCAAAGTTCCTGGTTTGCTACCTTTTGTGAGAAAATCCCCCCAAAATGGAGTCCTTCACTACGAGGGGGTCGATCAATTGTCCACAGGTGGCAAAAATACCTAAGGGGACCCCCCAGTTGGATAAAATCCCCTCAACCGACCAATTCACATAATATTTTTTCATCATTTCATAACAGAACCTCAACTCAAGATTTAATACATAATTTTTGCAAATATTTCTCCAAATTTTCAAAATATAATTTTCCAAATTTTCAAAACATAATTTTCCAACTTTCTAAAATTTCCAAATCAAAATTTGGCATACATTTTACAATAATTTAATTGTAAAATACATGGTGTAATTTCAATTCATATTGTTTCAATATCAACAGGTTTTTCTTCAATAATAGTTGGTGTTTCCTTTTGCTTCTCATTCTCAATATGCTTCAACGTTTTCAAATGCTTGGATATTGCAGATTTCCTCACTTTACACTGGCAAATATCACATTCTATTTCAATCTGATTACGCACTTTATTATATTCCTTTTTCTTTTCCTTCCTATTCATTTTACTTTGTTCTCGGCAGTAATCACAAATATGCACTCTAACATTAAATAGGTCAGGTGGATAAGTGTTTTCACATCGCCTACATTTTTGCATTTTGTCAGTCATCTCCATGCTACTATTGATAGGTGGCATGTCTTTAGGTCAAAACCATCTTACACAAATCCCAAAATCCCAAAATATAAAATCCCCATAATTTCAAAACATAAATCTTACAATGTTTTTTATTGTAAGGTTTATTAGGTATGTGTCAAATATATCCTTGAAATCTTACCCCAAAATCCAGGGCACTTACCCCAAAATCCAGGGTACTTACCCCAAAATCCGGGGTAAGGAGGCAGGTTACCCCAAAATCCAGGGTACTTACCCCAAAATCCGGGGTAAAGAGCACAATTCCTCATGAGGGCTCATTTTGGTGCCAGAAACTCGTTTCTTTAATCCGCCAAACTCGTCAAAATCTCAAATCAATTCAGCAGGTATTTTGTATAAATCTTCCTGTTCATGTATTACATAATTATCCCCCCATTCTGCTTTAGTTTTTGATGGCAGTCGTTCCAACTGAACCTGTGCCTGAAAATAATTCTAATAAATTCATATTGTTTATTAGAATGATTTAGATAATGTTTTAGACATATACATATTTATCATCTTCCTTAATAATCTTATAGTATTCTAATGTTTGTTCTTTTGGACTTTTGATTTGTCCCTTATTTAACATATCACAATATTTTTTACGCTTCGTGTCATAATCGCCGCTGGGTCTGCCTATCCCTTTCTTTTCAAAGATCTTATCAATCTTTTCCTTCTCTTCATTGTTATTTTTTGGTTCGTTTGCCTTTGCATCAAGTTTCTGGTCAATAGTTTTTTTCATCTCGTACAACAGTTTAACATTTTTACTAACTGTCATTATCTTCTTTGATAGTTCAGCAATAGCATCATTCTCAACTTCAGACATTTCTATATATATTTATTTATATAATTATTTATTTAAATATTTATTTATTTAAATATTTATTTATGCGTTTTATTATACAGTTTACCTGAATAATCTAATGTTATATATGTAAATAAATTATATTCTAACAGTCTTTCACCAATTTTATTGTTCATTTTTATTAAACCTTCCTCGTCACCGGTAATTTCAAAAAACATCAATATTTTATCAAATTTATCCGGTTTAGTTATACCTTTCATAAAATATTTATCATTGAATTTAGCATCAAACCAATAAAAATATTCTTCGCTCAATTGTTTAGCAAAGTTTTCATCACCATTAAATAGGTCTTTAATTTCTTCATCGTCAAAAGTTATAACTCTATGGTCTTCTCTATTCATAGTTGGCATTATGATTATACAAATAATTAGATATTTATTTATTTACTTATTTATTTATAAAATTGATTTAATGTAAAATCTACTCTTTAAATACTAACTTATGTCCCTGTTGAAACTAACATTAATCAAATGTTCGTTAGTTTCAATAACCATATCGCCTCCTGATTTTTTCTGAATATTAAAATATTTGTCTGTTTTTTTTTAAAAGAAAACATACATGGGACACAACTAACCTTAACACCATCTTTTTTATCTACCGTCAATTCATTCTTAAAATTCATAACATGATTACATTTATCGCATTTTACAGCTTTACTTTCACCCTTTGATTTAACACTTTCCGTTGTTTTTTTCCGAGCTTCAATATCTGGCATTGGTCTTTCTTTGCTTTTACTCTTTTTCTTTCTTGGCATTTATATTAATATTTACATTTTTATTTTTGGTATATTGTATTCCTAATTTTATTAATTCTAATGTATAAAAGCATACTGTCTTACATCTGTTGTCAGTTATTATTACTTGTTCTATATTCTCTACTTCATCTATTATATCAATATAATCTGAATAACTTCTATCCATATAAATAATAAGATGAAATAATTATTAAACATAATTATTTGATCTTATTATTTTCATGCATAATAGAATATTGGTGGGGCACAGCACTTGGGGTTTTCATTGCACACGCGAGCAAGACACAAAACTAATTATCTTCAATGCTTATTGATTGAAGTTGATGAAAGAGCCTGTTCTACTACGATGGACACCATTCATATCATAGCAATGCTTTCATACAATAAATAATATTAAATTATTTTCTAAATATCTTTAATATTATTTTATTATGCCTGATGTAAAACCAATTGACGAAATCAAATATGACTTTAAGCAAAGCAAGCACGAGGTCGTCCCTAAATTGCCGATGAGAGCTATGATTGTGGGCCCGTCAGGCTCTGGCAAATCGACGCTACTTGTATCAATGATACTTGATATTTATAGAGGAGCATTTGAAAGAATTTTTATCTGGTCACCATCAGTAAATTTAGATAGTATTTGGTTGCCTGTTAAAAAATACATTAAGGAAGGTTTGAAAGTAGATAATGATAAAGAACCGTGTTGGTGGGATGAGTTCAATGTTGAAGATTTAGAAAGAGTTATAGAAACTCAAAATAAAATAATTGAATACCAGAAAAAACAAGGAACGAAGAAATTATTTAATATTTTGGTAATTTTGGATGATGTATCTGATAATCCAGCAATAACAAGAAATAACAAATTGTTAAATTCTTTATTTTGTAGAGGTCGCCATAGTGGAATATCAACACTTGTCAGTCTTCAAAAATCATCAACCGTACCACCAATTATTAGAGTAAATATAAGTCATTTGTTTTATTATAAAGTTAGAAACTACAAAGAGATAGACATATTACAAGATGAATTATCAGCAATTGTTAGAAGCGATAATTTACACGAAAGCAAGAAATTAATTTATAAAATATATGAAACTGCCACTGATGAACCGCATAGTTTTTTATATATTAACCTTTTAGAAAAGAACCCAGATAAAATCTTTATGAAAAACTTTTCACAATATTTGAAAATAACTAATCAATAACATTAAATTTATTTTTTAATGTTTTTGATTTAAATTAATGAAGCGTTGCATAAATTCAACGCAGGTAATTTATATATTAGTTTG